TATTCAGTAATTAATTTAAAATAGTTTAAATAAAATTTAACTAATTATATAGCTATATTTTCTGATTAGTTACGTAATTGTAGAAGCAGAAAAAAAGCAGTAGTAGAAATTATTATAAAATATACTTTTGCAGTTATTTTTTTATATTGTATTTATGAATATAATATATATTTAATATAACTCTTTTTAACAAATATTAATTTAATTTTTCTTTACAGAGCTCTGTGCGTTAGCTTCACTTTTGCGGTTGAACAAGGCATCAATAAATTAAAATAGAAAAAATGTTCGTGTCAACAGTCTCTCGTATTGCGCCTATTGCAAGAAATACAGTAAGTAAACTTTTATGTTAATTTTGTTATAATTTTAAAATGTTTTAACACTTAGAATCTATAAAATTACATAATTACTTGAATCGATTTTTCCGTAACACATATTTTTTATATTGCTGTGCGGTATGGTGAACTCTCAAGACTTGCGGTGAAATTTTATTAAGGCACATTACATAAGAATTATTTGAGGTTAGGTGTATGTAAGATGGAAAATGTGTGCAGGGAACTGCAACTGAAAGTACACAAAATTAAAATACACTATTTTCCGTTTATTTATAATTAAAATTACCAAAAGTAAATGTTTAAATTTAGGCTAACATGAATTTGATACGTAACAGAATATGTTGTATAATTACTAATATAACTTAATACGACTACTACCGGTTATTTAGCGACCTCTTAACTCAAACTAATATCCAGAGTAAGTGGAGGTTATCGACACTTCTCCATCCTAGTTCTTCTGTTACTATTAAATTTTTTTTATATTTAATATAACCAAAAAGTATTTAGAAATAGCTTAGATGTGGGCGTAGTTAAATATTTTGAAAAGTATTTATGTTTAACAAATTACCTTTCAATTATAATATATTAATTTTAAAAGAGTTCTAATGCAAGTTGAATATGTTTTTATTGCCTTTTGGGAAAGTCAGTGATAAGAGCAATTCTAGTAATAATTTGATAGTTGCATAATCGATTCACAGCTATAGGTTTTCTTCCAACTAAATACTATAGCATATGTTATCACATTTTTATATAACTATATATCATTACATACTAGTATTCATCAATAACTCACAACTTCAAACTCGATAAATATATTGCTATATATATATAAATTTTATTTTATTTTTTTTTTTACAGATCCTCAACGGTACAAAACAATACTTGCGACCATTGAGCAGTGCTGTTATCAGCCAGAGCCAAACACTCGCCGCTCAAAACACAGCACCAGTTGCTTTACTGCCACAAATCAGGTCATTCCAGACCTCCCCAGTAACACGTGACATTGATTCCGCTGCCAAATTTATTGGTGCTGGTGCTGCTACAGTCGGTGTCGCCGGTTCCGGTTAGTATTGGAAGCTTGTTTTATGTAATACAAGGAAATTGTGCTATTATTTATACGGCAACCTTGTGCCTAGGAGCAGCAACTCTATTTCAGTTTTATGAAATATATTCGTTATAATAATTATTACACAATTATTAATTAAAACACAAATTCGTTGCTTTTGTTTGTTACTTAGTCAGTTACAATCTAGCATCTGGGGCACATTACGAGTATCTGATTACTCTTCAATAGCCTCGGGAAGGTCTGAGATTTGGTCAAAGTTCAACAAAAGCACGCTGTTGGTGCGTGTGAACTTAAACTAATAAATTTTCTAGCAGGAAACTTGTATAATAAAAAGGCAAAAGAACAAGAAAATCTGCACGCGTTTGTTCTGCAAAGATCATTTGCGCTGCATTGGAATCTTTTGTGACCAGCAATTTAAGTGCGATGTGCTTGCTGCATTCTATGCAGAACTCAATTCAGACTAATCTGCAACTGACTTCCCTACAACTAAAGCATTGCATTTGTGTAATATATTTTTTTAATTTTCCTTTAAAGTAACAAAAACTATAACACAGTTTTCTTGTATTTTTTTTTTTTTTTGTTTTAATAATTTTTTATATATAACACAATAATATTGTTTATTTTATTGCTTCCAATACAAACAGGTGCTGGTATCGGAACAGTATTCGGTTCCCTTATTATCGGTTATGCCAGAAATCCATCATTGAAACAACAATTGTTCTCATACGCTATCTTGGGTTTTGCCCTCTCTGAAGCTATGGGTCTGTTCTGTCTTATGATGGCCTTCTTGCTTCTCTTCGCTTTCTAGAGTGCTTATTATCAATAAGTTAACGTTAAAAACAACTCCAACATCTTCATTGTTTTTAAGTAAAACATTCAACAATTGAGAATATAGAAGTCAATAACACTTTTATTTAAGTTTGAAATATGAATAAAACATTAATTATAATAAAATTAAAAATCATGTGCAGATACTACTATTATAAAAACAAAAACAAAAATGGAAATAATTAAATTCTTCGATAATTGTTAAGCGAATTGAAATTCTACTACGACGGCAATGCTTTGTTATGATAAGAAGGTATCCAAGTCATCCTGCAGAAGAATTGTAGCCTACTAGCCATACGACACTTTGAATCGATTCTTTGTTAAATGCTTGAATTGGATAATAAAAGTGGCAGTAAATAACAACTTAAACATAAACACTAAATTATTATCTAATTAAATAGATACAAAGAATTTTTAATTTAATAATGTAGTTAAAAAGAAAAAAAAATAATTACAAAAAAACTTAAGTATTTTTAATGTGAAATGATCGACTTTTTGAATTTGATACTTTAAAGTTAAACTTTGCGTGCGCTCTCACTTAAGCAGGTTTTCGAACACTCTAACATTTAACAGTCTCAAATTATGAAAATCGATCAGTTTTAACACTTTATGGAACTGATTTATATAAATTTTAATTATGTAAACAATGAAAAGAAAATTCGTATTCAAATTCGACTTATTCGTATTGTTATTATTCAGATCAAAAATATGCAATTGCAGAGATGGTAATAAAACATCGGAAAACAATGAGATCCAATTCGCTGTGTTTTTATCTCACTTATTACTCTTATTAGGACAAATTATTAAATTACTCAAATATAAAATATTGAGTTATTATTATTATCATATATATATAATATGTATGAGTTATTATTATCATATATAAAAGAGAAGTTGAAGCAACTTTCAATAGATGGAAAATTTTTAAGACTGAAGATTGAGAGTTTGATCCAGTAAAATCACTTCTTTATGTTCTTAAGGGATTGTGTGAAACTAAATAAAAAACTGTCAGTTGGGTTTTAAATTTATATAATTATAGAGAGAACGGGTTTTCGAACAGTCTGCAATAACAGAATTTTATTATTTTTAATTAATTGAAGTTTTTGCTGGCCATATAGTTGTTTCAAGGATGGTCAAATATCCATTATGAGTGGTCTTTTTGAAAATATTTCTTTGATTTAATTATTCGTTAATAGGTTTTTGAAACTGAAAGTTACAAGGGTTGAACTTGTACGCTATAAATTGAAGTTCAGAGTCGATGTTAATTAACCAACTGATGCATAACTCTATTTGACTTGGTATTTTGTTAATTTATTATGAATGTACATCAACAATTCGCTTTTGTTGTTCTTGTAACGCGCTGGGATCTACTTTCCTTTGAGGGAGATGACGACTAAACTCGATCGTTCTTGGAACCGTTCTCTGTTTGAAAAACTTTTTTAAAAAAGTAGTTTCTTTTGTCAAATTTAATATAATAATTTTTTATATAAATGTCTTCTACTTTTCGAAGTTTATTTGATATATTCAACGAGTTGGATTATTGTCTGGTTGCAAAATTATATAGGGAGAGTGAGAGAGACTTATGTATACTATACTATGTATACAAATTGAAGTTCTAAATAATTAACAACAATATTATGTTATGGTGTATTGTTTTATACAAGTCTACAATATTAATATTGTTAAATAACAAATTAACTCGTAACTATTCCAATTTAAAATTACTTTAGTTATGAATCGTGATGAGGTTTGAAAGGTCGATGGTTGAAATTATGCTACAGTAATTAAGGGAATTCACTTTATGGGTATAAAGGAAAACAATCAAAACGGTTAATTTATTCAATAAATTTTGTATTCTTAGATGATGCTGCACTGGGGGAAAACTCGGGTGCTATGAGAAATCCTAATTAAAAAACCGCCGGGTGAACTGTAAACACCAAAATGCTAAAAGAGGATAAGAAAATACTATCGGGGTTACTGTAACCTTTACAGACTAACATCTGTCACCTTGGTGATATGAGTGTTGACAAGCTAGCACACATTCTCCAGAAATCTGTAAAAATAAATTGAACACTTAATTACGAACAAAACAAAATCGTCAAAGGTTTAATTATAGTCTGGGAATCATTTCACACAACTGAGGTTACAACAGTAAATTAACTAAATTGCAGTGCTTAGTATTCTCCACATATTTTTAAAATTAAAAGTAGAGTTTTTAATACTGGGGTTCAAAATTAATCTAAGCTAAGAGTGAGAACGTAAACTACATTAATTATAGGAAACCGATAGTTGTTAGAAAAATATAAGATATTAAAATAATGATTAAAACTAGTTGTGAATATATTCTACATCGTATATTACTATATAACTAATAATAAAACGGAATAAAAAGGGAGATTGAATCATCTCATCAAAATAGAGAGCTAGAATATCAGAAAGAAGATTATGTACATATGCCTTGGAGAAGCAACCGGTATTGTTGTTGTATCCCATGGAGATCTATATAACAAATAACATGAAAAGAATTGCAAATAAAGATAACAGGATTATTTAGTAACAATAGTGAATTATAGATGCGTGACAATTGGTATTCAGCAAGTCTTCTAACCATAGCTTTAAAATAGAGCACAAAGTGGATATGATATGGAGGTTGCTTATGTTTGTGGGTAGTACAACTATTAAAAATTTGTCTTTTAAATTTATATGCTTACGTAGGTGTTCCATCATTTAGGATCAAGCAGTTATCGACCAAAATTAGACACAAAAAATTAGCAGTTAAGTCTGAACGCTGACTTGATCATGTTGATGCATAACATTTTTAATTGAGCACGCATAACCACTGCATTCTTAAATGAATTGAGCTTGGGAGCGTGAGAACTTCGAAGTATTTAAGCTTTATTTACATGTCACCTTTTCGAATTTTAGTGATGGCAATACTCTGCACTGTCAATTAGAGTCTCGAATAATGTTTTTGTTTTGATTGTGAACACCACGTTTTGCTAGTAAATCTTCAACAAATGAATTGATAATTGAAAGCAATTATTAAAAGCATTAAATAAATGGATTTTGCTAAAAAAATTTTGAATAAATATGGCTGGAAGGAAGGAGAGGGTTTAGGTAAAAACAATGATGGCATAGCTAAGCCATTAAAGGCAAGTTTAAAATTCGACAATACCGGCCTTGGATCAGATCAGGCAGCGAGTGACTTTAATAACCACTGGTGGAATAGAATCTACAATGAGGCTACACAAAATATAGAAATAAAGAATGGTGGAAATGGCAAAGTTAGTATGGAATTAAAAGAAGCCGATGCTGTCGAAATATCAACAAAAGGATATTCGACGAAAAAATTGAAAAAAGCAAAACAGAATTCTGGAAATGATAGTGGTGGTGCACAATACAATAATTTTCTGCAATCTGCAACATTATCCAGTGGTGGATGTGAAATTGAAAATCCAAATAAAATTAATTCAGATGATATATCAGTTACACAGTACAAAATACTTACCGATGAGGAACTTTTTAAGGCATGTGGAGGACGTACAGCACATAAAGGAGCACGACATGGTTTAAAACTTAGTGGGAAACTTGCTAGGCTAGAACAACAGGAACAAATGCTATTGGAAAAAATGAAAACGAGTGAATCGCATAAAATGGAAAATAATGTTTTAAATGATGATATAGTCAATTCTGCTGCAAAGAAATCTAAAAAGAAGAAGCGAAAATCTGAGATCATCGATGAAGATATCACCAAATCAGTTACGAATGAATCCAGTGAGAATTACGAAGAAACAAGTGAATATGTGAAACGTAAACGAAGGAAGCAACGAGCTGAAATTTTTGATGATTTTGAGGATAGCAATTTAAACGTTGAGCATAATCAATTTATAGAAATAAATTCAAACAGCTTTGAGGATATTACTGGAAATTCCATTGGCAAAAAAATGAAAAAGAAAAAGCGAAAAGAAAATTCTCAAAGTACAGAATCCAACAAAAATGAAGATATTTCATTAGAAAGGAAGGAAGGTGATTTCAGAGAGAAAACACAGAAAAGTGAAGGTGGAGACCTTTCTGATAAAATAGTGGCAGATACCAAGCCAGAAACGATAAATGGAACCTTGCAGTCACATAAGACGAAGAAAAATAAAAATAAAGAATTGCAAGAAGATAGCGCAGACGGCATACAAAAGAAGTCTAAGACGAAGAAAAAGAATAAAGAATATAACAATGAGTTTCAAACTGAAACATAAAATAATAAGAAGAGAAGGTAGCGGAATTTGCATTGCAGAAAATAACCCACTCTGTATAAACAGAATATCTAACATTTAGAATTAAGCGATGTTTGGGTTATAGAATTTTTAATTGGACCGCCGATCTGGTATCCGTTGTTTACAGTGTATTGTGTAAATTCCTCTCCAAACGATTGGCCTACATTTTATATTTATGGTTTAATAAAAAATAATTAATTATTTTTGTACATAACTGATTATGTATTTATTATTATTAGTGAATTATTTCATATCGAAGTAGTGTAAATCTATTTAATAAAAGAATCTAACTTAATTACTTGAATTATTTCTTTGATTTAGCTTTTAATCTTCTTGATTTTCCTAAACGTTTATTACCAACACCTCCTTTTCCTCCTTTACGTGCGCCTTTCACTTTTTCCAAACCCGCTGCTGATGCTTTTGTGTTTCTCTTTAAGCCCTTCTTTTTACCACCAAATCCAAATTTCTTATTTCGTTGCTTGCGATTTTCTGCTGATTTCTTTTTCTTGGATTCCAATGCTTTTGCATCTTCTAGAAAGTCTAAATTCTTAAGTTTACCTTTGCGGAACTTCTTTAACTTATCGAGCATTTCTTTCTTTTCCATTTCTCGTTGCACTTTTGTTTGCTTAGCCAACAATTTACCCATTTTACGTTGTTCACGAATTTGACGTATGCGTTCTGATTTAGCCTGTCCCTCTTGTTTGGCCATAAGATTTGATCTGACTTTCTGCATATGTTCATCTGTTTTGGCCATTTCAGCGAAATAATCATCCGGTCGACGTGTTTTTATATTAAGTGCGTGCAACTTTTTAATACCTTCAATTACAGCAGATTGTGCTTGACGATGAAATAACATTTCACGTTTAAAATCATTTATGACAGGATCTTCCTCTGGCTGTACATAAGGTATTTTTAGGTTTCCCTTAAACATGTTGGCACGTTTCTGTTCATGTTTCTCCATTTGTATGACTAACTCTGGTGCTAGAGGAGCCAAATCATTTGTCATATCCAATCGTTCAATCCATGGTAAATCTAATTTTATTTCATCTACTTTTGCTAGTATTTTGGGCTATCAAAAAAATTACTTTATGAAACATTATATTTTATGTATTATAATTCATAACTTACAATATCATTAACTTTTCCTGTTGTTTGATTAAATTCAATATTTAGACCGGGTTTTAGGTCGCCACGCGCAAAAGCCTCTTGCAACTGAAATATTTTATTTTCGAATTTTATTAAACATTATTTCAATCAATGTAAAAATTACCTCAGCATCAGAGTTATCATCAGAATAATATTCAGAATCAGATGATTCTACTTTACTTTTCTTCATGTTTGTTATTCACTTTATTCAAGAGTCAAATTAATTCAAAACAAAATAAATTAAAACAATCGCACGTGCAGGCGCTAGTTTCCAATGCTATTTGACAGATGAATTTTGACAACCAACGAGTCTCGAGTGTGAATGTTTATGTCAGCTGTTGTAGTTCGAGTATCAAATATAAAGAGTATTGCCAATATTAAGCGTTTTTTAAACTACTTTAAGGTGAACTATTATTATATTTTAAGTATGCGCAACAAGTACCAATATCATGTTTCCACTACAACTAATACTACTCATGTCAACGAAATCAAGATTTGATTGTTTCCACTGGCATATTTCTGTTTATGGACTTCGACCTGACTTCCATTGCCATAAGCTGATTTATACATGCGAAATAGCGTGTTTGTTTATATTTTGAATATAAAACGTATGATATGTATTTTAAATTTTGGTAATTTGGTTTGTAAGAAATTTATTTATAACGGTTGCATTCAACATTTTTTTGTCTTAAATTAGTTAATTTATTTATAATGAGCTCATTTATATGTAAGTTCTTTATATTGCAAATTTTTCTTACTAACGGTATTAAAGAACAAAACTGCCTATGCGATTCAAGTGGAAACATATAATAGTACATTCACATTGTCTCATTTAGGCTCTCGGTCATTTATATTAATGTATTAGCGTTCACATTATAATTAGCTCAGTTATGCAGCTAATGATTTCTCGTTTACCCTCGGTAAGTTTTATCCTTAATATATAGCTGATTCTATTAAAATTCATTTTTAACTTAAGGAAGTTAAAATCACGTTAATGAATTACTTTTTGTATTATCAAAATCATTTCAGTTTTGAAATTTATTATTCATATACCTAATAAAAATAATGTATTTGTCAGAAAAAAACAATAAAATCAACACACATGATTACGCGTGAAAATGATAAATTTTTTATTCTATCGTTATTATAATTTTTAAATTAATACATTAACAACCTTATTGTGTTCACTATACTTCGACACTATCATTTTTCAGTGTAAGTTGTGAATAAAAGAAAACACCTGTTCATTCTCATGAATAGAGAGAAGAGTACTTTGTTTTCAGTACTCAGAGACCTCATAGACCAGAAATGATCATAAAATTCCAGTAAACGTGCTGTGTTAAATCTTTAATATATCAACAAACTATATATTTATTGTATTTCTTAGATCAACATATGTGGTTTGAAATTATAACGACGTGAACAATCAAAAGTTCCTGAATCAAAAACTACTTACGCGTTCAAATCAAATTTAAATTATTTGTCAACAGAATTTTTGTTGCTCAGTGTGATAATTTGAGTCTTGAATGAAATTTGTGCGACGACCTCTGGTGGCTATAAATAAACATTTGCAATTTGAATTAATTTTATCCGCGACTCACAAACAGGCGCCATTATTAAAATAAAAACAAATTCTTTGACATTTATTTGCTAATAACTAAGAATATGCATTGTTGTTTGGGGAATGTATATGAATTTCTAGAGACAAGATATGGTAATCAGTATAAAATCGAACTTGGAACGCCATCAACTTATTTAAACAAAATAACTGGAGTAGGAGTGAAAGAAAAGATAATTTATTGCTACAATGAGGTAAAAAAGGCAAACAAACTCATAACAAATTGTTAATAAAACATATTTTTTTAGGAACGTAATAGACCAAACTTAAACATCATATCCCCATCAAAGATAAATATAAAAGTTGGTAAATGTGAAGTAGATTTGGACTTGACGGGCAGTCCCTTAAAAGATGAATGTCTAGTGGAATCCTTTAGTGATATGAGCTTAGTTGCAAAATCAGAAACGGATAATCCTTGGGAACATGATGAAGAAGTACACAAAGGCATAAATGTGGAGAAAGTGTGCAATATAATATGCAACGAGGAGTTTCAAAAATTAATAAGCGGTGATGCACAAGGTTCAGTGTGGTTTCTTTGCGATGCTTTAGATGCCGAAAAAACTTTGCTCTGGCAATATGAATTTTTAGCCAATAATTTTAGTCGTGGAATTGTAACATTTCAAGGTATCATCCCCAGTTGTGAGGTAAACACACAAACCTTACTGCGTCATCATTATGATATCACGCATCAAGAAAATCGTGTGGAGACTACAATTGAAAACACTTATCAGATCAAATCAGACATTGAATTGTTCTGCTCTTGGACAACTACTGCTAAATTACCAACATTAATAGACTTAAATGCAAGTAATGATGTAGTTTTAACACAAATTTTTCGCTTTGACTGCTGTGGTACAAGCACAAAAGATCTATTAAACCAATTAAATATTTTAACTTACATTAGAGATGATATAATAGCGCACAAAAAAGCGAATCTATCCGAAAATAATGCAGAACCAGTTTATCGTTGTGGACGGTATAGTGTTTCTATAGTAAATTTTTATAATTAGTAATATTTACTCTTTAGTGGCATTGATATGCAAGATCTACGTGACAGCGTAACGCAGGTCATGACGGAAGTTTCTGGCATTGCAGATTTTGAACAGAACCTTATAGAGAGCGATATTGAGGAAGTCTTGGAAAAGAGCAAAGGCAGAAATTTATTTGATTTAACGGATAAGTTATGGGACATATTAAAATGTGAGTTGGTTTGGTACTTGTGATATGCAATATATTAATGTATGTTTATTTATATTTTCTTTTTAAATAAAGGCTGTTCATCATATAAGGAACTAAAATTGGGATTTCATGTTGTATTTCAATGTGCAGCGCGTTGTAATATTATGGTATGTACGAGTATTATATGAAGGTTTTATAGTACATCTATATATAGTTAAATATGTGGGTAATTATGATTGATAAGGTAATTATTAAAAACAATAATATGAGAGTTGGATACAGATCTACGTCACAGAACCACTGTTGTTGTTGTAACTCACAGGAATCTGTTTCTGTAGTTCTTTTTTAGGTGTGGCGAACGGCAATTGGTTGTCGAACTCGACGAATGGCACCGGGATGTTGACCCGGCCTCTTTGTCGAACCACTGCTCTTTGTTTATGTGTCTTTATTTAACTCTCTCTCTCAATAACCACCGTAGACTCCTAAAAGGGGCTACACAGATCCTTGCAAGCTACAACAAGAACAATATGGGAGACAAAATGTATAGAAGGATTATATTTATATAATTTTATATTCATTATTAGTACAAAATGTCTGTTTAATAAAATAAAATTCTTTTTTAAATTTCCTGAAATTATTCCTCAGTATGTAAATTTCTGAATACGGGTCCGACTACATATTACTTTGTTTAAAATTCTTGTACAGATATGAATAATATGCTCTAAGCATTGAAATCTTAAGATAATGTACAGATCCCTTAACGTTTTTTTATTGATCTTAAAACTTTTTTGGATAAAATAGGTAATTGCCTGTGCCACTCTATTCTCAACTGCAGAAAGATAATATTGAGCTATAATATTAAAAAAAAAATAAAATTTAAATAAAACAGAATATGTAATGTAAACGATAAAAAAGAAATTTGTTATATGCATTGCTCATAGAATTAAAAATAATCCGCTTTTGAAAAAAAATTATCGATTAGAAAAACTTTTCTAACCAAAATCTAAAAATTTTTCTTTCTTTTTTCTTACCTTAGAAAATACCAACGAATAAAAATCGATTGGCTGAAATCATTACCGAGGTTGCAAATCGTCGCCTAGCTATACCATGTTTGACTGGCTCAGAGCCACTGGAATTGCTACTGGAAATTGGATTGCAAAAGCTATACAAAGATTATGAGTACATTTTTACTGAAAGCAAACTGTGCAGCGCCAATATTTTAAAACAAAAGAAGTTAGTTTTCTAATGTATGAACCTATGAATATGTATATAAATAAATTATTAATACATATTGTATAAGTATATAACATAAAACAGATATATATTTATATACAAAAGTATGTGAGTTCTATGTACATTTATAAATATATGTCTAACTATATAAATTAATATGTATATGTAATAATTATAAATTATATGTATAATATATAAATAAAACAAAATATTTAATTTATGATTACAGTGTGGTAGAAAAGGAAAATGATGCATTTGTATCGAATATACGTAAATCATTGAAAAATGCTGTACGCGTTGAAGCTCCGTCGATTGCTAGAAAGACTTTATTGTATAAAAATGTTGAGAAGACTAAAAAGCTAAGCATTGATAGTATAGGGTTTAAGAATAGCAATTTCAGTGAGAACGAGAGTGGCATACATCTGGCAAAATTACTCCAGACACACTGCATTTTAGAACATCTATTAATGATACACATACATCTTAATATAAATAACTGTAAGTAAATAATTAAATTTATATTTTAATATTTAATTGAAAATTTATTACAATTTTCTTAGCTGTGTCCAGGGACATTTGCAGTAAACTCTTGAAAAGACCATTGAAACCTTTTGATGGAATAAACGATACACTAACCGATAAAATTGAAATAGCTCTGCCTGCACATAGTTTAAGCGAATATTTAGTTGGGTAAGTATTCCTTAGTTGTTATTCAAAGTTAAAAGAATCAAATTTATTTAAACATGCAAAGAATATACTAAATTTGTTATTAGTTATAAAAATCTGTCTAAATCTGTCTAAACAGATAAAAGCATTAAATGTGTGAATGCCGTTGATCGTATGTAATTTTTCTACTCCAATTCTGTTGGTATTCATTGCTATTTAATACTTTTTCATAATAATAAATTTTATAATAATAAATTTCATAATAATAAATTTTATAATAATAAATTTTATAATAAAAAATTTCATAATAATAAATTTCATAATAATAAATTTTATAATAATAAATTTTATAATAAAAAATTTCATAATAATAAATTTCTGTGGATGAAATCAAAAAACTTTATTGAAAGTTTATTTAAAAATTAGTTTAATGAACCAATAACAACTGAACAATTTTTATGTTTCGTACGAAAACCCACCACTTTCTTCCAACATACGACGTAATTCATCTGAACTTAAATCATCAGGTATATCGAATGTGGAACGAATTTCGTCTGGAGTTTTAGCCTTTAGCAAGTTACCAAGTGCTCTACAAGCTCCTTTGCGCAAAGTTACAATATTTAAAAAATTAGCAGCTTGCAGAATCTCAATTATAAACGAATTGTCCTTCTCGAAAAAGCCACGAACAAAATCTTGATTGAAATCATATATTGTCTCAGCATCTTCAGATTCCGTATCCTTTCCATACTTTATCCAATCAAGTGCCGCTCTTAAG